CACTTGGCATATGTTCGTGTCTTTTTTTGCCCACGTTACCCCTCGGAGAGTACCGAGGGCATGCTGTGAGCTGGGCACCTGCGAACTAGAGCTGGGAACCAGGGAGACCCCTCACACCCGGGGGATCTTAATCCACATCTAGAACAGTCCTCTGAGAGAGGCACCCCGCAGGCTGGCGGGGAGCTGGGACAGGCACCCAGGGCAGGGCCGGGCGCACCTGGGTGGAATGCTGCAGGATGGCCAGCAGCCTCTCCTGGATCCGCCGCAGCAGCTCCAGGCCCGTGCTCAGGCAGCCGGGCCTCAGGAGGCGCAGGGAGGACGCCAGGTCTCCACAGCGCAGCAGCGTCTCCTCTGCAGGGGGGCAGACACCACACCGGGCTGACTCCCTCTTCCCCATCCCCGCCATGCCGTCCTCCCACTAAGTGCCAGAGGCTGCAGCCCAGCATCCAGATGCCTGGAACATCTGTGGCCTCTGACCCCTCCTGCAGGCATTGGGGACTCGGGGGAGGTGTGGTGGGACGGCTTCGCGGTGTGAGCTGACTGGCTGGGCAGTGGATGCTAGCAGTGGGCGGAGGAGAGGCGCCAGGCTCACCCAGGAGGATCTGCAGGGCATTGGTGTGCAGCTCCAGATTCCCCGTCTGCTGTTCTACCACGTCCATGTACTCCGTGTCCTGGCTGTAGAAGCTGTAGACGCAGGCATAGGCCAGCACCTAGGGGAGCCCCAAGTCAGCTCTTCCTGCCTGAGGCTGGGTGCCAGTGCTTCCCCCTCCCCCCTTCCTGTCCCTGGCCCTCCTACCCCCCCCCCTCCCCGCCCCACAACCTTTCGAGCCTGTTCAAGTCCTCGGCACGCATCGTTGAGGAAGGTCAGGGATCTGGGCGGGGGCACCTCGTGGATGGCAGAGGCCCGGTTCCGAAGGTTCACAGCAAACTCCTGCCGAGGAAGGCGCTCAGCACAGCCCCTTGCGGTGGCAGCCTGCCCTCCCCAGGGAGACGGCCCAGCCCTCAGGCCTCCCCCACCCACCCGGGGCCACTGCTCACCCGGGCCTGGTGGTGGAAAGTGCACCGCTCATTATAGTCCTGGAACCGCTTCTCCTGGCGAGCCGCTTTGCTCACCTGTACGGGCATGCGGGGGGGGGGGGGGCTGGATCATTTGTTTGGATAGGGTGCGGTTAAGAGTGAGAACAGCCACTTCACCCCGAAGATCTCCATCTCATCCTCCTGCCTGGGCAGGTCACGTCCCACGAACCCCTTCACAGGTGGCCATGTTGAGACATGCCCAGAGCTACACACAATGCTGGAGCAGGCCGACTCCAGACGCGTTGCTCTGTGTTGGCACCTGCCCATGTCCCACCCTCCCCTGCCTCTCTGCAGCTCCCTCCAAGGGAGCCATGCGCTTCTGAAGATGAAGACCCCTGGAAAAACGGCTCAGTACAGACAAAAGTGGTTCCTGTCCTCTCTCTGCTGAGCTTTGTCCCTGTAACCATGGTCACACGGCGGACACAGCGCCTTACCATGGCTGAGCAATTGTAGTAGTCCTTGTGATTGGGCTTCCAGGATTTGAGGCAGCGCCAACAGAATCCATGGTTACACTTGGCACAAGTCATGCTGTGAAGGAAGCAAGCCAGTCAGAGGGCACCTACTTCTGGGCAAGCCTGACCACAGCACCAGAGGCCTGGGCACAAGTGACCGTGACCCAGGCCTCTGGCCTCCATCTTCCGCCTCCATCCACCACGCTGCGTGCATCCTTGCTCTTACACTTCCCCATATTGTATAAACTTAAAGGTAGGGGGAGGAAAACCAGGGCAGAAGGCTCGTCTGTAACCCTCGCTACTCAGGAGATCTGAGAACTGGTTTGAAGCCAAAGATGTAAGTAAGGGTGTGGCCCAAGTGGTAAAGTGCCAGCCTTGAGTGAAAAAAAAAAACAAGCAAAATAGATCTCAGAGGGGCTGGGAAGGTGGCTCAGTGGTAGAGTGTTTGCCTTGCATGCCTGAGGCCCTGAGCTCGAGTCTTCAACACCACATAAGCAGAAAAAGCCAGAAGTGGCACTGTGGCTCAAGTGGTAGAGCGCTAGCCTTGAGCTGAAGAGCTGAGGGACAGCGCCCAGGCCCAGAGTTTAGGCCCCACAACCGGACCCCCCCCAAAAAAAAGAAAGATCTCAGAGGCCAGGTGCCAGTGGCTTATGTCTGTAATCCTAACTATTCAGGAGGCTGAGATCTGAGGATCACAGTTCAAAGCCAGCCCGGGCAGGAAAGTCTGTGAGACTCTTATCTCCAATGAACCACAGAAAACCAGAACTGGCAGTGTGGCTCAAGCGGTAGAGCACTCGCCTTGAGCTGAAGAGCTGAGGGACAGCACCAGCCCCAGAGTTCAAGCCCCACGACCAAAAAAAAAAAAAAGATCTCAGAGTCCTGAGTTCAGTCCCCAGTACTGTGGCTGGCATGCACTCCTGAGCGCACGCACGCGCGCATGCGTGCACACACACACACAGACACACACACACACACACAGAGTGGGGGAAGGAACACCAAGATAAAGGAAGAAGCTGCTGCGGGGGAAGCCACCGAGGGGTGACTGATTTCATAAGCGAGCTTCATTATAAACCTGTCTCTTACTGCCAGCCTCCCCCGCTTCTCCCTTGCCCTCTGATGCCCCATCACCCCTTCTTACTGCAGACACCCCTCGTTCTTCTCAATGGGAGCCTGACAGCTGGGGCAGCGTTTGGAGATGAGCTTGGCCAGGTGCTTGCTCTGGGCCTCCACGCTCATGCCATCGTAATAGCCACCGTCATCGACCCACTGGGACATGTGGCCGCAGCTGGCAGGGTAGTGTGCCTGGAGCAGGAGGGAGGCAGGGACACAGCTAAGCCCTAGTAGGGCAGTACTCTTCCCTCCACGGGAAGGCAGGTGACACATGAGGACCTGCGAGGTGGGGGTGGGGTCGAGGGAGACACAGTTCAACCAGTGGGAGAACGAAGACAGGTCACAAGGAGGGTGCTGAGTAGGGGAGGAGTCTAAGTAAGTGTCTTGGGTAGGGATGGGGCGGGGAGGGGGCACCCACCTCAGGGAAGCTACAGTTGAAGCAGGAAGCCCAGCCGCACTTGGAGCAGGTGGTCCCGCAGCCCAGGCCCTGGCGGCACAGGACTCGGTCGCAGCCCTGGGGGTTGGTGCACCAGGTCAGGTTGGAGCAGCTTTCCACATAGCCTCGCAGCA